AGGTTGGACGTCAGGGGGAAATTCTTTACAGAGAGAGTGGTGAGGTGCTGGAACAGCTGCCCAGGGAGGCTATGGATGCCCCGTCCCTGGGGGTGTTCAAAGCCAGGTTGGATGGGGCCCTGGGCAGCCTGGTCTAGCATTAGGTGGGATGGTTGGTGGCCCTGCGTGTGGCAGGGGGTTGGAGATTCATGATCCTTGAGGTCCCTTCCAACCCTGGCCATTCTGTGATTCTGTGATTCTGTGCTCCCTCCTGACAAACCCCCTCCCCGGGTGCGTTACCCTGCTGCAACGTTGTTGGAATTCCAGTTGGGGTGGATGTGGATGCTGCTGACGCTGAAGGTCTGCTCGGTGCCCTCGCTCTGGTAGATGTTGTGGTCACCGGCGACGACGCGGAAATTCAGGTTACTGCAAAAAAGCACGGGGTCAGGATTTGGGGATCCACACTTAATGCTTCAACGGTTCACACAACAGGATTGAGGAAGTGACTTGGCTCTGATGAACAAACTTGATGAAGAATAATCAAATCGTGTTTTCAACTCAACATTTCTCGTGTATACAGTCACGCTTTCTCTGCGTGTGCAATAGAAACTCCCAATTCTTTATTGACACCATGGACATAGGGATAGAAAGAAAGAATAATAATCCTATGGTTCTATGATCTTTCAGGACCCTTCCAGCCCAACGTTCTATGGTTCTATGATCTTCCAGGACCCTTCCAGCCCAACGTTCTATGGTTCTATGATCTTTCAGGACCCTTTCAGCCCAACGTTCTATGGTTATGGTTCTATGATCTTTAAGGACTCTTCCAGCCCAACCATCCTATGGTTCAGTAGTGAAGAGTCATCCATGCAAGAAGATGCTTGCAGGGATCATTCTCCTTAGTGGAAAGATCAACAAAGACCCCCAGTCCTTAACAGAAAGATCAGCAAGGACTGCCACTCTCTGGGTGGCGACAGCTAATTTTTTCCTTTTTTTTTTTTCCTGGAAAAATGGCATTTTCAGGAGACAACGGGGCTCCCATGGCTGCTCACCTGTCTACGCAGTGGGCTGCTGTCAGCACCCAGTTCTGTCGGATGAGGGACCCTCCGCAGGTGTGGTGCCAGCTGCCCCCGGAGTAATACTGGAGGGAGATCTGGGGGGAAACAGCACACGGTGAGATGTGGGGACAGGAGTTCCCAGGGGATGGGAACACAAAGGGGAAAGGAGACCCAAAGGGGATGGGAGACCCAAGGGGAAGGGAACCTGAAAGGGACAGGAGACCAATGGAGATGGGATACCCAAGGAGACAGACCACCAAGGGGATAAGATACCCAAGGGGATGGGAACTCTGAGGGAATAGGAGACCCAAGGGGATGGGTTACCCAAAGGGGATGGGAACCCAAAGGAGATGGGAGCCCAAGGAGATGGGAGATCCAAGGAGATGGGAGATCCAAGGGGATGGGAGACCCATGGGATGGAATCCCACTGGGTTCATCACCGGTCCCCAACCCAACCCACCTGTGAGGGCCAAGCATGTGATTTTGCCTCGGTCCCCCCAACTACACGTTGCATCCCATCAGTGCCTGGCTCTGCATGGCATCCTGTGGGAAAGGGTCAGTGACAGCCGTGCACCCATTGCTCCCTGGAGCCCCACATCTGAGAGCTCATTAGCAGCCCATGAGCCCTTGGCACAGGAACTCACCACACAGCGCGAGGGCAGCGAGGAGCAGGAGTTGCAGCATGGTGACGACGTGGCCAAGACTTCACCTCACGCTGCTTTATAGGGGATGGAGAAGGAGGTATGGGAGCCCCACAGGTGGCCTGGCCCTATCAAGCAGCCTTGGTCCCTTTTCCAAAACACATATGGCCATGAAAGTTGGAAGCCAAGAGCTAAAAGTACTCTAAATGCAAGCAAGCTGTGGTAAACTCATTTATTTTTAACTCATTTTTCACAATGGGGACAGGATGCGCTCACCTGGCTTCAGCTATCAGCACAGTGCACCTGCACGGCCATATCTACACCCGTGTATTTGTTTAGCTGAAATATTTTGGTTTGTCACAAGGAAACTGACTTTTGGCAAAATGAATAAATTAAAAAAAAAAAAAAAAATCCAGCCTATGTATATTTTTTGCCTGTTAGAAATGAACAGAGGCTGCTCTGGGGTCCCTTGGCAATGGCACACTTCTTGCAGGGTGCAATCCAAGTGAAGGGTGGACTGTTGGGTGGATAAGGAATTGGTCGGATGGTTCAGGTGGAGGTGGTGATGGGTGGTGATCAACAGGGGTCTGTCTTGGGAGTGGTGCTTTTCAATGTCTTTAACAGCGACATCAGGGATGGGATCAGTGTGACCTCAGAACGCTGGCAGATGGCACCAAGCTGAGTGGTGCAGTTGGTATGACAGAAGGAACCATTCTACAGTTCTATGATCTTTAAGAACCTTTCCAACATCCTGTGATCTTTCAGGACCCTTCCAATCTAATAATCCTATGGTTCTATGATCTTTAAGCAACCTTCTAAATCAATCATCCTATTGTTCTATGATCCTTAAGGACCATTACAACCCAACCATTCTATGGTTCCATGACCTTTCAAGACCATTCCAACCCAACCATTCTATGGTTCCATGACCTTTCAAGACCATTCCAACCCAACCATCCTATGGTTCCATGACCTTTCAGGATCATTCCAACCCCACTGTGCCGTGGTTCCATGACCTTTCAGGACCCTTCCAACCCCACTGTCCCATGGTTCCGTGACCTTTCAGGACCATTCCAACTCAATCATTCTATGGTTCCATGACCTTTCAGAAACATTCCAACTCCACTGTCCCATGGTTCCATGACCTTTCAGGACCCTTCCAACTCAATCATTCTATGGTTCCATGACCTTTCAGGACCATTCCAACGCAACCATCCAATGGTTCCATGACCTTTCAAGACCATTCCAACCCAACCATTCTATGGTTCCATGACCTTTCAAGACCCTTCCAACCCAACCATTCTATGGTTCCATGACCTTTCAGGACCTTTCCAACCCAACCATTCTATGGTTCCGTGACCTTTCAAGACCCTTCCAACCCAACCATTCTATGGTTCCGTGACCTTTCAAGACCCTTCCAACCCAACCATTCTATGGTTCCATGACCTTTCAGGACCATTCCAACCCCACTGTCCCATGGTTCCATGACCTTTCAGGACCTTTCCAATGCAACCATTCTATGGTTCCGTGACCTTTCAAGACCATTCCAATCCAACCATTCTATGGTTCCATGATCCTTCAGGACCCTTCCAACCCTACTGTCCCATGGTTCCTTGACCTTTCAGGACACTTCCAACCCAACCATTCTATGGTTCCATGACCTTTCAGGACCCTTCCAACCCAACCATTGTATGGTTCCATGACCTTTCAGGACCCTTCCAACCCCACTATCCCATGACCTTTCAGGACCCTTCCAACCCAACCATTCTATGGTTCCATGACCTTTCAGGACCCTTCCAACCAAACAATCCAATGGTTCCATGACCTTTCAGGACCCTTCCAACCCAACCATTCTATGGTTCCGTGACCTTTCAGGACCATTCCAACCCCACTGTCCCATGGTTCCATGACCTTTCAATACCATTCCAAGACAACCACTCTATGGTTCTATTCTATGGGAGAAGCAGTACCCAGGTTTTGCTCCTCCAACGGAGTGGGCACAGGAAAACAGCACTGGGCACATGTCCCAGGTTCCATGGGCACAAGAGAAAAAAAAAAAGAAATAGGAAAGAAAAGAACACACCTGTCACATTTCTGCTCTTATCACTGTAGGAAACATGAGATTTCATGGGGAAAAATTGTCTCCAAATAATCACCTCTTCGTTTTTATCAGCACAGAAGGGCACACACAGCAGAGGCACAACCCAACTCTACCCATGGCAAGCCTGAGCCCCCAGAAGTTCAACACCTTATTGCAAGAATGGGGCTCCAAAGGGGCATTTGAGCTGCAGATAATGAAGAGGACTTCCAGGGCAATGGAATCAGAGCAGGGCTGGGGACTTGGGGGCAGTTCTGGGGGAGGAAACAGAGCCGAGATGGGGTCTGTAAAATAAATCATCTCTTTATTTCAGGTCAGGTACCCAAAGGTGGACCCTCCCCATCCATTTACAGGAGGAGCTTTCCCCAACTATCAATGAAACGGTACCAAAATTGGAGTGGGGGGAGAAGTGGGGCTGGGGAACAGCAGGGACTGTGGTTGGGTGGCCCCAGCATAGCACCCAGGAGCACCCCACAGCCCTGCCCCTTCCTCCTGCTCAGCACGAGGACCAACGGAACCACCCCAAAAACAACGATCACAACATCATAATGACCAAAATAACAACAACCCTCTAATGTTTCCCCTACAATCAAGGCTGAGATTTAAGGCAGGTGGCCCCAGAGAGCTGCCTGAGGTTCCTCTCCCCGACCATCAGTGGGGACACTGGATGCTGGTGTGGGGCTGAGTCCCAGCAGCCACCCCATACATCCCAGCTCCTCTCTATAGGGCTGAGCCCCTAGTCCATCTCCCACAGCCGGGCCAACCCCACTGCCCTCCTCAGGTATAGGGAAGGGGCAGATGTGGGGCAGCTGTGACAGCTTCTGGAATGCCCCAAGGGCAAGTTTGGAGTTTCTTCGATGAGTCCAGCATGAGTCCAGCATCATCTCTCCCATCCAGGCACTAAAATGCAGCACTGGGCTCTTCCATGACCCTTTTTGGGCTCCTCCATGACCCCCTTTTAGGGTTCCTCCACAACCCCACTTTGGGGTTCCTCCATGCCCCCTCTTTGGGGCTTCTCACATTATCACCCCATCTCCACGGGGTTTGCAAAAGGCATAAGGGCTGAGTTCAAGGCCAGACGTGAATTGCAGCATATTTAAGGCTTTTTGCTTCTTTTAAATTAAAAAAAAAAAAAAAAGGTAATAATATTAAAAAAAAATAATAATAATAACGAGGGGAAAGAGTTGGCTGCCAGTGCCCTGAGCGTGGCTGGGTCCCGGTGTGCTGCCATTAGGTGAAGGACCAGAGCTGGTGGGGGTCCGAGGGGTTGCAGGGGGCCATGGCCGGGTGCTTTCCACGTGCTGTCAGACACATCCGGGATGCATGGTTCTTAATGAGGTGGTCCTGGATTGAGAGAGAGAAAAACAGAGTCGAGCTCAGCTTGGCCCTAAGGATGCAAGCAAGGAGATGCATCGATAGCATGACGAAGGGACGCAGCACTGAGTGCTGTGTGGGGATGCAACAAGTGCGTGGTGCAGCATGCAGTGTGGGGATGCAGCAGTGAGCACATGGTGCAGGGCTCCAGCACTGAGTGCGTGGCACGGGGGTGCAGCACTGAGAGCACAGCATGGAGATGCAGCAACAAACGTGCTGTGTGGGTTTGTAGCACTGAGCAACAGTGCAAGGAATGCAGCGTTGAGTGCACAGCGCTGTGGCATCAAGTGCATGGTGCTGGGATGCATCACATGCATGGCCCAGGGATACAGCAGCGAGTGCAGGGCTGCAATCGAGTGCAGAGAGAGGGGACACAGCACTGAGCACAATGCACTGTGCAGAGCTGCAGCACCGAGTGCAGGGATGCAATACCCTATGCACAGCAATGGGGTGCAGCAAGTGCATGGCTCAGGGATGCAGCACCAAATGTGCAGTGCCAGGAGGCAGCACCAAGCCCTCGATGCAGGGATGCTCCAAGTGCATGGTGGTGGGACGCAGCACCAAGTGCAAGGCACTGTGCAGGTAATGCAGCACCAAATGCACAGCACAGGGATGCTCCAAGCACACAGTGCAGGGATGCAGCGTCAAGTGCACAGCCTGGGAATGCAACACACAGAGCACAGAACAGGGCTGCAGCACCACATGATCCACGTGTGGATGCAGCACGGAGTGCACAGTGCAAGATGGCACTGGGTGCCAGAGTGCAGCAGCACAGGCACGGTGCAGGGATGCATCGAGTGCATGGTGCTGGGGTGCATCATGGTGCTGCAAGGCTCCGAGTGCATGGTGCTGGATGCACTATGGTGCTGGGATGCATCACGGTGTTGGGATGCACTGAGTGCATTAAGGTGCTAGGATGCACTATGGTGCTGGAATGCTCTATGGTGCAGGGATGCTCTAAGGGCATTATAGTGCTGGGATGCCCAATGGTGCTGAGATGTTCCGAGTCCATTATGGTGCTGGGATGCATTATCATGCTGGGGTGCATCACGGTGCACTGAGTGCACAGTGCTGGGATGCCCTGCATGCATCACGGTGCTGGGGTGTAATATGGTGCTGGGGTGCATTGAGCGCACAGTGCTGGGATGCTCTATGGTGCATTATGGTGCTGGGATGCCCTGCGTGCATCACGGTGCTGGGATGCATCACGGTGCTGGGATGCATCACGGTGCTGGGATGCCCTGCATGCATTATGGTGCTGGGATGCATCATGGTGCTGGGATGTCCTGTGTGCATTATGGTGCTGGGATGCATCATGGTGCTGGGATGTCCTGTGTGCATTATGGTGCTGGGATGCATCAGGGTGCTGGGATGCCCTGCGTGTATTATGGTGCTGGGATGCCCTGCCTGCATCAGGGTGCTGGGATGCATCATGGTGCTGGGATGCTCTATGGTTCGTTATGGTGCTGGGATGCATCAGGGTGCTGGGATGCCTTGCATGCATTATGGTGCTGGGATGCATCAGGGTGCTGGGATGCCCTGCGTGCATCATGGTGCTGGGATGCTCTATGGTTCATTATGGTGCTGGGATGCATCATGGTGCTGGGATGCCTTGCATGCATTATGGTGCTGGGATGCATCATGGTGCTGGGATGCTCTACGGTTCATTATGGTGCTGGGATGCATCATGGTGCTGGGATGCATCATGGTGCTGGGATGCCCTGCATGCATCATGGTGCTGGGATGCCTTGCATGCACTATGGTGCTGGGATGCTCTACGGTTCATTATGGTGCTGGGATGCTCTATGGTTCATTATGGTGCCGGGACGCCCTGAGCGCACAGCGTGGCGACGCTCGGAGCACAGGCGATGCTCGCAGTGATGCTCACCTGCGTCAGCTCCCACTCCTCATCGGGGGGCACACGCGTGGGCTGCCCACGGAAGCGGCACTCCCCGAGCTGCACCGGCCCCGCGCCCGCCCGCAGGCACAGCTGTTTGCCCACGTTGTGCCGCAGGTCGCGCTGAGTCGTGTACTCAAAATACTGCGGGGGGAAGAGAGCAGAAATGAAGGGGGGGGGGCACAGCAGCCACGTGGGAGGCAGGGATGAGCCCTCGGGGGCAGGGGAACGCCCAATAAAGGTGACTTTGGGGGGGTATTGAGGGGAAACAGCCCGTAGGGGTGAGAAACCATTCAGAGTGAGGGGAAATTATGGGGGAGGGGGGACATGAGAAAATAGCTCTGGGGTGGTGGTGG